ATATATATATATATATATAACTAATAAAGCAATAATCAGAACAGCTTCTCAGTTTTCATATTTATTAATACAAATTGTTTCAGATCTCTCGATCCTCATCAGTCAATAAACATGGGTTTTATATATATATATAAACACTAGTATAGTAATATCTGTTTGTCTTTCCGTCTGTATCTTTTTTTAGTATAAAGGATCATTGCTCTTTAATTTTTCTTGTTTTGGTTAAAGAATTCTAAGGTTTGCATGTAAATCAACCTTTGACGAGGTGCATAAACAGTTTTATATTTCATCATACTCATGAATCCCAAATCAACCTTTGATCAGGTGCATAAACAGTTTTTTATTTCATCAATATCAAATTTGTTCTTAATATGAGACAAAGGCCAAACTTTACAAATTTAAAAGTCGCATCAATTTTAGAGACCAGGTCGAGGTTTTGCACCTGCTAACCTCTGGTTTTGCCTTCCTAACTTGTTAATTCCTTTTATACCCCTGGACAGTGGACAAAACACACTTTTTCTACCTTTTTGTCCTAAAAGGAGTAATTTATAAAATACTGTTTAATGCTAGTGCGAGAGCATGCACACTTTGGTACATTCATTGCAACATTAATGATTAAACCTATTCCGGCTGGGGGGGGGGTGGTCTCTCTGACCCCCCTGGCGGTTTTTGGAGATAACTCAAAAAGTATTGGTCTGAGGCTGTTCAAATTTTTTGACTTTCTTAACTAACACATGCCCCTCACACCTCAGGAATACTGCCTGAATACCTTATTTTAGCTTTACCCCACTAAATCTATATTTATACCTATGGGTATACTTCCGGTCATTAGATTTAGACTTTTTATAAAACAAAAGGAAGCAGATTGCACAATTTTTGCCAAGAAATTTTGCACAGATGCCTTTAAAGAGAATTAGTACATTTTCAGTTTACCTTGAATACAAATTTTTTTTTTAAATTTTGCAAATATATCTGCATATAATTAATTTCGCCACGGCAAGGGGTTTTCAAAAATCTTTTATCATAGCTCGCGTACTTTTTGTTTTTGCACATTTTTTGCTTAATAACATAATATTGCAGCATAGATTTGAATTTTTGCAAATTTGCTAATTTTTTGCAGATTATTGAAGAAAAGCCCAAGGGCTTTCCAAAAATGTATAGATTTGTATCACAATAAGGAAATAGAGGGGGGGCCCNTATTGCAGCATAGATTTGAATTTTTGCAAATTTGCTAATTTTTTGCAGATTATCGAAGTAAAGCTCGAGGGCTTTCCAAAAATGTATCTTATATTATAGATTTATGGCACTAGCAGACTATTTTGAGTAAACCAGACGTCAGCCTGAATGGGGTTAAGATTTAACCTGGACAATAAAGTGAGGGTTGATCTAGGTACCAATGCAAGGAAAGTTAATTGCAGTTGAGTATACTCTGCGTACATATTGAAACCAGTTCTCTCTGGGCGGAATTTGTAAACAAGAATAGATGCATTAGTGTTCGTTTAGTATCCGAGGAAGATAAAAGCATTGAATTTTGATAATTTTGAAAATTTACATAATAGTTTCCAATGTCCAGAATATTTCATTGATTATTTTTGTGAAAATGGATTCCATGTCAGGCTGTGACATTCGTCCTGTGTTTATTTTTCCGCCCAAAGACAGTACACTGCGGTACAAAAAAGCGTACACCGGTCTGAAATAACTTTCCTTGCATTAGTGCCTTGTGGTTGATAAACTTTAGATAATATCGATTATCGGCATACTTGAAAAAAAAACTCGGGCTGAGATAGGAAAATAACGATGTCAATAAAGATTTCAACAAATAATTGTTAACTCTCAAATCATAGGAATTGATTCTTTTCCACACACTCTGATTCTTGAAACCCTTATGTCTTTTGCTACTCACTTTGTAGACCTTAGAATTTTTAAACTATCAATTCTGTTATATCTAATAATCTAAGTTTGATTTACACCATTAGGTTTCAAAGATGTAGGGATCAGAACATTTGAGTTTCCCTTGTGTAATTTATCCAGATTTAAAGTTGTGAACAGTCCTATTAACAAACCACTGTGTGTAACTACGGAAACATTATTCAATTACAATGAAGTTCTTGGTAACCATTAAACACAGTACTGGAGAACACGCAATATTATAATCAGGATTTATTACAAGAATAAAACACAATACTGATCTAGGTCGACCTGCAATTATGTAAACATGGATGAAATATCAGTTTTTAGGGAAAAGGGATTCATCACAGAGAAGTCTAGGACTAAACTATAAGAACAATTTTGTAACCACCTAAAAGGAACTCGAAAACTGTTTAGTTTACAATGAAAAGAAATTAAATTTATTTTTCGATTCGTTAACCAATTTTTAAAAAGAAAATCATTTTTTGTTGATGGTTACCCTAAAAAATGACTAAATGGCGTTCAGTCAATTCATGATAAAAGATCAAAAGTAAAATTTTGTTTGATAAAGAACGTGTCAAATCATTCGTTGGGATGTTTAGAAAGATGAAAATTTCCCTGTATGATAATTGAAGGACTGCAGTATGGTTTTGGTGAATTATATTGACGTACTATGCCTAGGGGTGTCAGAAATGATTTTTTTTGCATTTTTTTGAAAACGTCCAATAATCCTAAAAAAGTTTAATTTTGATAAAACTTTTTGTTCTGGATAATTACAAATATCTATCTAAAACTTTCTTAAACCGGCATATTTTTTCTATATTCATTTAGTTAAGAGTTTGAGTTAAAATAAGTATTAATAAATATTGCTTTACTTTAAGGCAACTAGGATAAGCAGTATATAGACGGCACAAGGGACAGTACATAAAATAAATCCTACTCTTTGAAATTAATGATGTTGGGTATACATGGTACACGCGTAATGGGGCCAATTTCAACCAACCCCCCTAAACCTGGTCCCCTTCTAGAGAGATTATTGTGTATCGGGCCCAATATTTTTGTGGTAACTCACATGACCCAGGGAAGTCGAAATTGAAAAATTTGTCTGGAAAAAATCGATTTAAGAAATGTGGCTTGATAATAGTGATGGTTGCACCCTGAACTAACGAGAGAGAGAAGTATTCGGTTTCTTTTATTTGAAATCAAACATGTTTTTGTCTATAACTCAACAGTCTTTAGACTTACAAATTTGTTTATTTTATACTTTTTCATTCATATGTATATGCCAACAAAAAAAGTATTTAAGTTAAAGACTATAAAATTCTGGAAAAGGGGTCATATTGTGATCGAAATTCACAGTTTTCTGAAATATGGACAGAACCGTTTAATCCACGTGGTTGGGTAATAACTTAGTTTTTTTGTCCTTTTAAGGTTTTTGGACTATTAAAGGCACCCCACAATTAAACTATAAACTTGTGAGGGTTCATCACCATTAGACTATACAGAAGAAGACAGTTAAATTTATGCGACATCACTGATTCAACTTTGCTTGTAGCTCATCCTTTTTTCATTTTACGCACCAGTATTTAAAAAAAAACTCCGGTTACATTTTTATAGAAATTCACAACAACAAAAGTTTTCTTCTCAACAACTCTTCAAACAAGTGGCATTCTGATTGAAAACATTTAAGATTTCAATTTTCAATTTTCTTTCCTTTAACGTGTCATTTATTTAAGTTTGCTTTTATTAAACCACAAAATCTGTTTCCTTCACAAATTTTTGTGCACCTTTTAAATTTCTGAAAACCTTAAAAGTTTCTAAAAACGAACAAAGATATTTTTACTTGAAAAGTAAAATTCAAAGGCTAAAATAGCTTTCAGAAAGTGATGTAAAAATTGTGTCTAAATAATGCACTGATATTGTATTTCTAGTGTTTATCATGCTTTACAAGTACATTGGCTTTATGCTTCACCTTTTTGTAAGTATTACTTCACTTAGTTGTATAAAATGTATACTATTTACTATCATATATATTATATTATGCAACATTATCATACCTCGGTAGGTCTAGGTTGTCTCTCCGTTCCCTGCCTTTATCTATCAACATGTAACCATCAAATCCTTTCTTTTTCAACACGTAAAAAGATTCTTCAACAATTTGAAATTTACACAACTTCATTATTTTTTAAAATAATCACTCTCACATCTAATTTAGTGTTACAGAACCTGAGTGAACGAATTAAAGCATCTTAAATTTTACTATGGATCTTTTTCCTTTTAATTATTAACGACATATTTTTGGCATCATCGATCAGATTAAGAAGATGTAGTTTAGTGGATTTTTGTATACTTCTTTTGTTGTAAGGAAAAATCCCCAGATACCCTTTCTTTCTATAGGGATAATCTCCAAGCCCAAAGTCTTTTGATGTTAAGGCCAATTATATACAGTGATAACCAAAAAACTGAGGAAGATGAAGACGACTTTACAGCAATACTTAAGTGTATTTGATGTTGTTACAAAGCAAATAGTTTTTTCTAAACACCTATTAAATAACTACTTAACTTAAATGGGTCTGCGTCCACTGGTCACTTGCTTTGTTCTATGCTCATAGAACTATTTAAATTCATAACTTGAGCATAAAAGTCGTCTTCCTATTCCAGGGGTTTCTGGTTATCACTGTACAAAGTGCCAGTGCTTTTATAAAATTTACATATAAAGAAGAATGTTATTATGTTTTGCAGGTTAAAATATGAAATGTTTATTAAAAACCATTACCAAATTAGAACCTTGACGTAAACTTTAATCTAACCTCTAAAACATGTATTTACTTCATAACGCATTTAACAGGGAAATTTTTTTGATGTTTTTAAATGAATATTTTATTTTACTACATTTTGTTAAAACCGTTGATAAATAAGACAAATTCTTTAAAAAAGACAAAATCTTCAAATATTAAAAACATTTAATAAGTATACTTAAAGATGGATTTAAAGTAAAAAAGTAAAAAAGTTTTTAAATATGTTGATTGGTGGCATCCCTAGAAGACTTGCTAAACTCTCTCTCTCTAGTACAGTTTGATCCTGAAATCTCCGGAATTGTCTTCAATTTTTTTATAAATCAGCTAGTTTATAGTGTTTTCTAGTAGATGTAAAGAACTAAAAATATTTCACAAAATACAATTTTCTTATCTCATCTTTGCAACCTGAATACGTATTTTTCAAAATTAGGCAATTTCATTTAACAAAATACACAGTTTGAAATATCAAAGGTTGCGAGTGTTCAGTTCCTTTCCAGAAAACGATCTTTAAAAAGATTATTAAGTACGTTCTAGAGGATTTTTAAGAAAAAAATTCCTTGGTGAAGGGAGATGTCTGTCTTTCTTTCCATATTTGAATTCACTAAATAAATAGAAAATTAAAAATACATTTAACACTTTTGTTTTTTGTTTGTTTTAATACCTGCATTGACTTACTGTTGCTTGCCTGACCAAGACTGATTTTTGACTTGGAACTCTAAAAGTATAAATAAAAGAAATAAAAGAATTATAGATAAATTTTTTCGATTAATGACTATTTGAAAAAGAAGCAATTAAACGGGGTTAAAAATAAAAAAACCTTCCATTGAAAAGAAAAAGGCTTTTCTTTGTGTTTGCATGCATATACGCAACTTTTTAAATAATAAAACTTAAAAATATACAGAATATGAATTATTGAATATTTTTTGTAAATTGATTTTTATGAAGTATTTGAATTTTTTAACCTGACAGAATTAGTTCTACGAAGAGGAGTAGGGGAATTAGGAGGTTTCCCCAGGCCTGGAGCCTGTCTAATATCCCCCCTCCCTCGTACAGGGCTGGTGGGGAATCTGAAAAAGGTTTAATTACTTTTAAACATATTAAATTAAATCAAAGTTAATCAAATTAAGCAAAAGATTTTGCACTGAAATTAATTATACGAATTATTTCAACTTTACATTAAAAAGCCCTATTTTAATAAATACAAATTTTACAATTTAAATGGTAAAATTCTGCTTACCAGAACAAAATACTGTCAGGATGGTACAAAACGTTAATATCTTGTTTACGTACCTTCGTGTATTAAACGTGTACAGTCACTACAGTGTTTAGTGTACACGTAATGATGTATACAGTACCTTGGTGCATTCTACCTGTTATATATATATATATATACCGTGGCGTATCTGATGTATTATAAGTTCAGTACCTTGGTGTACCTGATGTATTCAAGTACACCCTGTACAATACCTTGGTGTATCTGATGTATTCTAGGACACCCTGTACAGTACCTTGATGTATCTGATGTATTCAAGTACACCCTGTATAATACCTTGGTGTATCTGATGTATTCAAGTACACCCTGTACAGTACCTTGGCATCTGATGTATTCTAGGACACCCTGTACAGTACCTTGATGTATCTGATGTATTCAAGTACACCCTGTACAATATCTTGGTGTATCTGATGTATTCAAGTACACCCTGTACAATACCTTGGTGTATCTGATGTATTCAAGTACACCCTGCACAGTACCTTGGTATCTGATATATTCAAGTACACCCTGTACAATACCTTGGTATTGATGTATTCAAGTACACCCTGTACAATACCTTGGTGCATCTGATGTATTCTAGGACACCCTGTACAGTACCTTGATGTATCTGATGTATTCAAGTACACCCTGTACAATATCTTGGTGTATCTGATGTATTCAAGTACACCCTGTACAATACCTTGGTATCTGATGTATTCAAGTACACCCTGTACAGTACCTTGGTGTATCTGATGTATTCAAGTACACCCAGTACAGTACCTTGGTGTATCTGATGTATTCAAGTACAACCTGTACAGTACCTTGGTATATCTGATGTATTCAAGTACACCCTGTACAGTACCTTGGTATCTGATGTATTCAAGTACACCCTGTACAATACCTTGATGTATCTGATGTATTCAAGTACACCCTGTACAGTACCTTGGTGTATCTGATGTATTCAAGTACACCCTGTACAGTACCTTGGTGTATCTGGAGGAGTGTATACAGATCCACGCCTTCTTCTCTGGGCTTCAGCTCTAAATAATAATTGTCAGAGGAGAAAATTCCATTGTAAGTGTCTTGTCAAAAATACAAGCTTTGAAATATGTCAAAATTTTACTTATTTATAAAATTATGAGAAGTGCTCCTTGGTGCTGATTAAATTGTATTTGTGAAACATTTTCTTTTTATTTGTGTAATTTTACTCGTTTAATAAAACATGAAGAATCCATTATAATTACTGATGTACCTTTACTAATTAAATACCTGGGTGTTGATACAAATATTAAATACCTGGGTGTTGATACAAATATTAAATACCTGGGTGTTGATACAAATATTGAATACCTGGGTGTTGATACAAATATTAAATACCTGGGTGTTGATACAAATATTAAATACCTGGGTGTTGATACAAATATTAAATACCTGGGTGTTGATACAAATATTAAATACCTGGGTGTTGATACAAATATTTCCGGATAATTCTTGTAATGATCGTCCATATAAGTCCTATTTGTCATTTTAACCATGAAAACTGATATTAGAAAAATAAGAATAAGTTAAATTTTTTCCTTGAAAGGTTTAGCTTTAAGTCTTTGTTTAAGTTGTTGATTAAAATGTTCCTTAGCTCTCTTTGTTCACTAATAACCTTTGCTCCTGTATATCCTGGTTTCAATCAGAGATTATTTAACAACATTTTTCAACATTAAAAATCCAAAGAGTCAGGTAAAAAAAATTATGGGCTTGGAAGAAGATTATGTGATATTCCTCACTTCTTTAAATGTACATGTTAACCTTTTCGTCCAATTTACAGGGGACTGTACACATCACAGGCTACACAGACTGCTAATACAGTGAGCAGGCCTATAGTGTCCCGGCACGCCATGCATGCTACGGTTCCATGTAATGTTTTTTGACCGACATCTTACGGACACTTGTACACAATAGAACATGCTGTGGAAAATATCGCATATTATAGGTGTTAATCGATCTCTGTAACTCTTTATCTCTGGTACACATTGGTTTTCAGCATTCTTTACTCTTAACCTTTCTCATTGTTCAAGTTAAAAACTATAATTATCATTTGAATTAAAAATGTACACTGTGGAATAGGAAGACGACATTAAAGCAATTGTTTTACCAATAGCTCGATAGTTAACGTATAAAGTGAAATTGGTCTGTGTAGTACACTTCCACAATTGTTGTGTTCTATACAGGCAATTTAAAATCATAACGGAAGTCTAACGGTTGTCTCCAAAAGGTTTAAATTAAATCTAATTTTAATGATTATGGATAAATTCTGATTGCCTAGTATCGATCCTCCAACAGCAACAACACCCCCCAGCTTTATCCCAGCAACTAAACCAACTGGGCCACCTTCATATTAAATTATCTTAAAGGGACTGTTTCTGTAATTTCAAAGATGGAAAAGCCTGATTTACAACTGGACCCTTGAAACCTTAAATTTATGAAAAATGTGGAAGATAACGTCGATTTTCTGACTCGAAAGTGCTTATTTCTGTAAATTTCTCCATTGCTTCTTTCAAGCAAGAAATGCGTAAGTCACTTTTGGAGAGAAGAAACAAATGAAAATAAACAGTTCAAATAAACAAAAACTTGCATATCTAAATCGTACTTGATCAGACTTTAAGGATACCGTTGTAAATCGAGCATTGCTATATTTTGCATACAGGGGTACTTGAATTTACGCTTACAGTCCCTTTAAGAAAGATTTCTTTCTAAAAAAAATTAACTTTTTAAAATCAGATACTGATTCTGCAGATAAAAGTTTAAAAGCATTGGGATAATTTGGGATCGAATTTAATGAAATTGAGCTACGTAGCTGAACAACCAACTGCCGGTTCAAATTTGAACCAGCAGTAAACAGTTCAAATTTATTAATTTCGGTCCCTGGTTTCCAAATTCCAATACAAAGATTTTCAAGATCTAGTTAAGCTAGAAGAAAAATTCTGTATAGATTACTTACCTAGGCAGAGACCAAAAACTGCTCCTGCCAGTGGTAAACCTAAAATTAGAAAAGTTTAAAAATAAGCTAAAATAATATATCAATATAATCCAACTGATTAATGATCAAGGGATTTGATTGATTTCTCATCAAATATGGTTAAAGCTTTGTTTGGTAAAAAGGTCCTGGGGGGACTTTTAACAAATAAGTTATAAAATCAGAAAATACTGTTTTCGTTAAACATAACCTGCCATAGGAACTGAGGAGGAGTAGGTGAATGAACCAGATTCTGTACATCTAATAATATTAATCAATAATATTATTAAGGTTTGATTTGTTTTTCATGTTCTTTTCCACCTTTATATTCAATATTATTAATATTATTATTACAAAAAATGAATTATGTATATCGTAAGAAAAAAACAAACTCTAAGGTTTGCTGATATAATTATATACAACAAGCAAATAAAATAATAAATTACTCTAATTATCATGATAAAAACATGTAAAGAATGAGGGGTTTGAAGGGGAAAGAGAAAAAGGGGGAGGGCGAAACAGGGTTGATATAGTTAAATATACATGAACCAATGTATATAGTGCGACTTTACATTCTGTACGTTTGATAATTATAAATTGAGAATTATAATTCTTTAAAATGAAAATCACTAATGATATGTTTAAACAGCAAGAAACCTGGTGAATTCTGGCAATTCATTTTTTTAAATTTTCGGCTACCATTTTATTTTCGGCTACGATTTGTGTCAGGAAACTTTTAGTTTCTAAACTTGTTTAGGTAACCTTGGGTTTGAAGTAGCTCTATCAGGTTTACATGGTCCAACTTTATCTGAACCAGGTCCAGGTTTATCTGAACCAGGTCCAGGTTTATCTGAACCAGGTCCAGGTTTATCTTGACAAGGTCCAGGTTGATTAGAAACCTGATGATCTGGACGGGGTGAGGGTTGGGTCCGAATAGGTAAAATACCTCCTGTAAAACCAACATTTTTTGAAAAAATATTTGTAAAGGACACCAGTCGATATTTATGAAAAACGAGAAGTAGTTGAACTATGTGGTGCTAAATCAACTATCTATTTTCATTATTACAAATTCCCAATTCATTCAATTTAATCTCAATAACTCTTCTTAATGACACTTTTAAAGAGAGATATAAATTAGAACCATGCAAGAAAGCGAACGTTTCTCTTAAAAGCACGCATTTGAATCGTAACTCTCATGAGTTTGAGTTCACATAAAAAAAAAACCATGCCTAATGTCTATTGAATAAAAATAATTTTTGGATTTCCTTTATAGTTTGTAACAGGAGAAAGATTAACTCCACTATCACTATCAGAACATCTCCTAGAAGAGTCAAAATTATCAAGATTTAATAATCATAATAATTTATTCTATTTTTTAACCTTGAGACAGTTGCAGAGCTCCCACTCTCATCCTCACTCTCGGTTCTTGTAGACCACTGAAAGATACAGCATTAAAAAAAGACATTGAAAGATTAAGATTTTTATCCTGTTTAATGTACTCTTGAACAAAACTCTGCTTATATCTGAAAATCTTATAGTTTAAAAAGAGCGCAAGATGTCCTGAATAATATTTCTAGACTAAAGGAAAAATTATGTATATTTTTATGACTCTGATGAAAACGATGAACCGTTCATCGTTCTAAGCAAAAAATAAGATGTTTTAAGAAAATTAACAAATTCTTTACCTCAGGTTGCCCCCTTTGTCTGTAGATTGAACCAGCCCTTGAAACTGATGGACCTATTTTAACATTTTAATTTAAAGTCATTATACACGCGCAGTTTCACAATTCTTTGGGAGGGCGGGTCAGGTCAAGAGCTATCTAATCGACATGGATGATGCAATAATTGAGTAGGTTTAATGATTGAGTAGGGACCATGAGACAGTTGTAATAAACTTTTCTGGAGCGCGAGCGCGAACCTCGCCCTATTCAGTTGGTGGCCAAAAAAACTTTACATATTTCCATGTCCTATACGCTTCTATGGTTCAATGGCCCCAACATTAACAACAACATCTCATGGTTTTGGAAATTTGTCTTAACCTCTTTTCGTTACAATAACTCTAAAATCAACACGGCCGAAATACTTTCAAGAGTTTCAGACAATTTTCGCACAAGAACTGAATTATGCATGTAAGAAGATGGCGGTCATTTTGAAATCCAGTTGTAAAAAAAACGTTCCTATGTGTATATAGATTATAAGAATTTCCTAAATGAAATGTAACCATGACATCATATTTCGGTCTCTAGCTATATGACCAAAAGTTTGTTTTTATATAAGAAAGATATTCTGTCGTGACCCCTGAGTCGTTAACGGCAAATTTAAATATAAAGTTCTGGGCTACAATATTTTTTGAAATCTTCATAAACTTGAGGTTTTTTGGGGCGTGGACAATATGGATCATAGCCTTACTAAGACCAATATTGTCCACGCCCCAAAAAACCTCAAAACTTTAGTGGCCTTAAAACAGATTTTTCACGTTTTAGTGTTAAGAAGACCTTGGTTAGAGTCAGATTTTGTTTACAAAAAATATATTTGAAGTTGGCCCTGTGTAATGTATGGAGATTGTATTTAAAAATATGTGGGAACGCAAACTCGTTTTAAACCTTCCTGTTCTAAATCCTATATCTTGGTATCCTGATTATATTTGATCTAAAGAACTACTACATCATCAAGTTGCAAATATATAAGGATTAGAAAATAAAATTTTGAGGGAAGTAAATATTTCCTTTACCCGGACGTCTTGAAACAGAAGAAGTTTTTCTTGGATTCATCATTCTTCCACTCCCTTCATCTCCACTACTTCCAGCTCGCAATCTCATTGGACTTCCAGCTCTGAAACTTCCAGAACTTCCTGCCCTCAACCGTCTGGGACTTCCAGACCTAAGACCAGATTTAATGAAAATTAGTAGTTGAACCACAAAGACAAAGTTAAACCACGGCTCTTCAATTTAAACCGGCGTAACGGAGAAATGGTACGCGGTTCAACCTCTTCTAGCAATTTATTAAAATCATGTCCCTGTCTTGTTGTCTTGACGGAGTTTTAGACCCTTCTTGTATACTCCGGACTGCTTCCATTCTTCGGGTTAACTTTGTACTCCGCTTCCCAGGAGATCTCTCTCGCCTAATCAATTTATTCATTAAAGGGACTGAAGCCATAATATTAAATGACTCTCCATTTTGTATTGGCTTATCCAGTTCACAACAGCACTCTAAAAAGTTTTGTCTGAACAATGATAAATGCTACACGTGGATTTAACGGTTTTGTCAATATTCCAGAAAGCTGTGACTTTCGATCACAATTTGACCCATTAAACATAATTTTTAAGCCTTGTTCCTTTTATATCTTTTTTTGACATATGCATTTTGAATGAAAATGTATAATAAACAAATCCGTAAAGTAAAAGATTGTTGAATTATAGACCAAAACACGTTTGATTTCTAATAGAAGAAACTGAATGCTGCTCACTCCGGTTAGTCCGGGGTGGCTATAACCATTATCTTCTCTATGGAAATTGATTAATAGCAGTTGTGTTTTCTCTATTAAATGACTTGTTCATTTCGCTTTGGCAACAATTGAGGGGAGTGTCAGAACTAAACTCTTTTTAAAGAAGAACAAGATTTTGAAAATAAAGATGAGGGTACCGTTGTAAGTCTGGCATACTCCTTTTTTTAATGAAGGGTCACTTGAATTTAGAATAGTCCCCTTAATTTGATTAATAATTTTTGTGATAAACACAAGTTTACAAATAATAATAATAATAATAATAATAATAATAATAATAATAATAATAATAATAATGAATACCTGATATTTTTATCCTCCCCGTCTTCTGTACTGGTTGAGCTCGAATCCCTCCTTTCCATGTTTTCCTCTATATCAAGGTATTAATATTAAAGATGAGACTGTAAAGACGACTAAAAAGTCGTTTTTGGCTAATTTAATGATTTGGCAAAGAAAGAAACAATCAACAATTCATGTGGAACATGAATGCATGGAAACAGAAAGTATAAATTTCGTTAAGTTGTCTCTGAAGTCTCATCCTTTGTGGGTAACAATGTATACCTCATACATTTCAAAACTGTATTCTTTTAAAGTTTGTGTTTAATAAACTTTGCAATATTTGTTTTTCTAGAGAAAAATAGGAAAAAACTAGCCGAAAAATAGGAAAAAACTAGCCGAAAAATAGGAAAAAACTAGCCGAAAAATAGGAAAAAACTAGCCGAAAAACGATTGATTAAACACGTTCGATTTTGGTTCCTTTATTGCATATATTTATTTCAGGGTCAAAATGAGGCAAAAGCAAATTAGATTTTTGTAGAACATTTAAAAGTCATAAAAACGAATCCACTTATTGCACATCGCTATAGGGTAAAAGGGATAGGTTTTGTGTTTACATTTTATTATTAGGAACTAGTTTTTACCAAACAATAACAAACATTTTGTACAAAGGTCAGAATTTTTTTTGATAGGATAAAAATGTATAAAACATTAAAATGTACAAAAACCATATCTTTAGATACACATACCTTTCTCTATATCATCCACAAGTATTCTAGCACCAATCCCTTCTTCTTCTCTTTCTAAACCTGAGGCTGTAACAAGAACTGAACTTTGGTATTTAGCTTCAGCATTGTTACTCTGAGTAGATGAATCCGATGGTACAATGGTAGAACTCTCTTCATCAATTTTGATTTTTAGTTTAGTATCTTTCTTCTTGGGGTTCTTTGTTCTGTTTACAATGTTGTCGGAGCTGAAAAAATATCTATGGTTTACTTAAACAAAAATTATTAAAAAAATCCTCATTTTATTTAAAAATACAATAATTTTCTCTTTATCTTGCTTGCAAATAATAATTTTTTCTGAAATTGCCGCTGTTGATAATTGTTAACAGGCTTTAAGATAATTAAATTAATGAGAACCTTTTTGGTAATTCAAATTTATTATTAAAATATTTCTTAAAATAGATTTCGAATAATTATGTTTATTTTTAGTGGTGGTTTCATTAAAATTAAATATTATTTGTTTTTGATATTTCTATTTCTGGTTAATTGTAGGTTTCATTAAATTATATTTAGTGACTATTTTTAGAAGAATTATATGTATTTTTAGAATAAAAATGATACATATGTTGTAAAAAAACGCAATTATCTATATTTTGTGCTATTTTTAAAACAATTATCTTGTCACTTTTATCACAATTATAAATACAATTTAGAGAAGACTCTCTCCAAAAAAGTTAAGGAAAGGAGTGGACACACACGTCACACATACAATTTGATAGAGCCATGGACAGGAAAACTTACAGGAGACTGTTGTAGATAGAAGGACAGGAAAACAAACAGGAGAATGTTGAAGATAGAGGAACAGGACAACAAACAGGAGACTGTTGAAGATAGAGGGACAGGAAAACAAACAGGAGACTGTTGAAGATAGAAGGACAGGACAACAAACAGGAGACTGTTGAAGATAGAGGGACAGGAAAACAAACAGGAGACTGTTGAAGATAGAAGGACAGGACAACAAACAGGAGACTGTTGAAGATAGAAGGACAGGACAACAAACAGGAGACTGTTGAAGATAGAGGGACAGTACAACAAACAGGAGACTGTTGAAGATAGAGGGAGATTAAAACAAACAGGAGACTGTTGAAGATAGAGGGACAGGAAAACAAACAGGAGACTGTTGTAGATAGAAGGACAGGAAAACAAACAGGAGAATGTTGAAGATAGAGGAACAGGACAACAAACAGGAGACTGTTGAAGATAGAGGGACAGGAAAACAAACAGGAGACTGTTGAAGATAGAGGGAAATTTCCGCCCCACAACGGGACCCTTCTCACCTTTGTCTAAGAAGGGATGACGGAAATATTTTTTTTTTCTAATTAAAGATTAAAGTTTGGGGGGGGGGATCCATGTGACTTTATTAGCACGAATTGTACATGATAAACTTTACCCGGGGATCAAAATCTTCAGCCATCGTCGTTGATCTGACAAAGGTTTACAGGCTACCGTTGTGAATCAGACATGCCACTTTAGAAATGAAGGGTCCCTTAAGATTCCGTCTACAAAGCCAATTTAGGAGCATATTTTTGGTAAATAGATATTTGATAAGTTTTACCTTCCTTGGACCCTATTGATCCTTTATGCATTTTCCATAAATGAAATTCTGGAATTATCTGGTTTTAACAAAAGATTTAGATCCAAAGCCAGGAATGGTCACAAACAAGATTTCTTGACATTCTCCACCGAATTGTTCTTGGTCCTCCGCATAGTTAAAATCTTAAAATGCGATGACAATCAGTCCCTTTAAAGGGACTGTAAGCGTAATTTTAAGTGACCCTCCATGCAAAGATGGCAATGCCCGATTTACAACGGTACCCTTAAAAACTTATTCTGATCAAAAATGTGGAAGAATTTATATCCATTATTTCTTATAGGCAAGAAAGTCACTTATGCAGAGAAACCAGTAACCACAAATGAAAGGGCCCCGTTGTAAATCCGGTATTGCCTACTTAGCGTAGAGAGCCATTTCAAGTTACGCTTTACAGTACTTACAGTACCTTTACTCAAGTGATTAAAATATATCTATAATAATGCCCGACCAACCAGGCAGACCAATTGTACCTTTTGTACACAAATACTTGTGCTTTCACTGTTTTGCAAAGGTATCGACAGATTAATGATATTGGTAAACCTAAAAATCATTGATAAAACAATGACAGCTTGATGTTAAGAAAAATGTGCCAATTGTTAAAATGTTTTTGCAAATGTTCTCAAAATCAAACTTTGTTTTACAGTTATTATACCATAGATTAATTAGAGCAACAGATAGGAACCTGGATGTTTTACAGTTATTATACCATAGATTAATTAGAGCAACAGATAGGAACCTGGATGTTTTACAGTTATTATACCATAGATTAATTAGAGCAACAGATAGGAACCTGGATGTTTTACAGTTATTATACCATAGATTAATTAGAGTAACAGATAGGAACCTGGATGTTTTACAGCTATTATACCATAGATTAATTAGAGTAACAGATAAGAACCTGGATGTTTTACAGTTATTATACCATAGATTAATTAGAGTAACAGATAAGAACCTGGATGTTTTACAGTTATTATACCATAGATTAATTAGAGTAACAGATAAGAACCTGGATGTTTTACAGTTATTTTACCATAGATTAATTAGAGTAACAGATAAGAACCTGGATGTTGTCTTTTAAGATTTGGATGCAACTCGTTCACAGTAACCCTAAGGAATTTTGCGCAGTAGGCGTAGAAAAGGCTCTCTGTCTTGTAATTCTACGTCAACTGCGCGAAACTCCTCTGTGAACGAGTTTCATCCAAATCTTGAAAAGACGACATCTAGTGTCCTATCTGTTATTTAAGTTAATCTATGGTTATTACCATTATAAAGTGAAGTAAAAGTCGTCTTTTTGTCAGAATTGTAGCTTATTTCTAGAATTGATCTGTTACCGAATTTAATTAATGTGAGCCAGGTCGCTGAACTACTTACCGCGCACGTCGATTCGACTTCTTATCTGTAGTACTGACGTTTACATCAATAGGACATAGCCAACCCCTTAATCACCGATTCAAGATACGTGGTTACTGGTTGAACCGTCTTTAGACCTAGCTCAAATTCATTAAATTCGGTCTCTGATCACTTGTTTAGAAATAGTTTAGTTGCAGATTACTAACTGTCTCTGTTTTCTGGTTCTCCTTGTATTTTTAAATTATGAGAAATCCAAAACGTGGTGTGACTGTTTCAACATCAGTATTATTATTATTGTACAGTACTATTATATATCCATTGTAAAGTTACACAGAACATCGATTGACAGGTTAAACTATTAACTGAATTGTAATCTTCTGTAGGAAACCTTGTACATATAATTACACATCCAACCCTGCACCCGATAAACAAGGAAATTAAGAAACGACTTGAAAATCGTTCTGATACTTAACAAATGACAAAAGTGTATCATAAAAAAATTGTTTGCTTAAAAAGCTTTTTAAAATGTGGTCTGGCTTCTTTGTATCTTCAAAATTGCTGGAGATCTCAAACATTTGAACAATTTTGTTAATATTTAATATATTTGAATATAGACAGATTTCTAAATATCTCCGTCAATATTGATGGTACAAAAATGGTAGACCACATTTTGACATTGACAAGTCTAGTAGTCATGTTGATTGTTTTAACTTGTATTGTAAGCTTAATTGCGTTCACGGAATGATGCTGTACGAAACAAAGACAATATAGGAATCGTCACTTAATTCCCATGTTTATAGGAACACTCTGTACTATGAAGTCTGTACAATCAACAATTTCCTATTCTTAGCGATTTTAAGGTCGACAAAGTTTATATTTATAGTTCCTCTGTATCGGTTGACAAGGCACCACTGATAGCGACTGAAGTATATTAAATGTAGTATACTGCTTTAAGTAGTAAAGTGGTTGAATGACTGAACCTGCAGCTTTCCGAGGGAAAATATCAATATTTAGAAGGGAACTTCAGAACACCAGCTTTAACCTTATCTCACGGCAAAAACTGCAGGAGAGGGGGGGGGGGGGAATAAAGAATAAACGCAAATTTTGCCATATATTTGCTAAATTTACAACCGCTGTCTAGCGTTAGCTGAATGTTCTTTAAATATATTGGAGAAACGTTTTCAGCAAATAAAGATTTATTAGATGGAAACAATCAAGTCCAATGAAGAGATCAAATACAACATTAATCTCTAGCAAGGCAGAAATATAACTAAATATAACTAATATGATCTATGTGGTAAAATACAACACGAGGTTGTGTTATTGGTCTTCTTCCTTTTTAGCAAAAGGATTTTTTCCAGTTCGTTCTCATAAGTCTGTTAATTTTTATATAGCATTTTATTAGTTTTTAACTGAATTACAAAAACTTATCCCTCGTTAAACTTATTGAATTTCATAAAGTTCTAAATAGATTATTGTTCTTTTATTATGATCTTCCTAATAACCTTGCAAATGCTGTAAATAGATTTGCTAAAAATATACTGTTAAACTAAGAATAGAAAATGATAAAGAAGTACAATGACGAGTTGAGGGTTAACAAAGAGAATGATAAAAGATTAATGTATAAAGTTTTACCGAGTACAATTGAAAAGAATCAATAAGGAACTGAAAACTCGCAACAAATACCTATTTTCCAATCCATTTAATTAATGATGTTTCAGACTAGGAAACCCATTAGATTAAACAAGGTCAAAATATTTAATTAACCTAATTCTTAAATTTCTTACTTTCTCCATTTCGGGAATAAACCTTCAATATTTTCAAAATGGTAAAATTTAAATTCAAGCAAACCAAAATTGAGCACTACAAAATTGTTAAGTTTGTATTTATTTGTCATAGATAAAATTACTATTAAAATTCCAGATAATATAATTCACACTTGTAGAACTAGAAATTTACATATTACAATAATTTTTAAGACTGAGGGTAAAAAAATGAAAAATTTCACTCATATGTATTACATTTATTCATTTTTCTTGTTAAAAGTTACTATTAGGTTTTATGTCCGCTACTTAAAATATAAAATACTGGTTTTTCCTTAAAAAACGTTATAATTTAAGAAATTTACAAAAGATTACGCTACAAAGTTTTGTGTAACTTGTAAGTGGTGTTTGTTTGTTAAGTTCTTGTCTGAATTACGAAGTCCCCCCTTGATAGGTTGTTTATTAATGAATAAAAACTGGATCGATTATACACTTGTATTCAACAATATAGATACTACATATTGGATTGGACTGGTTTGGAGAAAGGGAAGAATATAAATAATATAACTTTCAAATAATTTTCCAGACTAGGAGTTCTGTCAACTGAGAATAGTTCAACTCTTAATGCAGACTATAAACACTGCAACTTTTAAATTACATCAAGGTTGGTTAATATTTTATGGTAATAAATACGAGTCTCCCATTTTTAAGGACTGTTCTCCACGTTCAGCTAGTCGACCTATTTTCCATAAAATTTAGCATTAAGAAAGTGAAGGAGAAGGTTCACGTTAATCTTGGCTTTTCCGAACATATCAGTCACAGACACACCCTCGTACTGCAGCTTTAATAAATCCTAAAATAAACACGCATCAAATACTACTTTATCACCCGGGCCTTAGGGAGGGGGTGAATTAAAGTTATTAGAGAATAAATATAAATAATGTTATGTATTAACATCTTTATATCATTGCAAATTCCAGACATTAATCCTAGGGATATCAAGGTCAACCATTTGCCCCCTTCTTTACTAAGGGTCTACGTAAAGACTTCACTTTCGATCCCAGTACCAGTTTCATAAACTACCCAACTCTATTTCTTCATATAGTTTAATGTCTATCTCTCAGAGTATTTATTTATCAGTGTTTATTTTATTGGTATAAATACATCTTTTAAAGTATTATTACATCCTGTTCAGATATCCATAATTCTATTGTGTAATTAAGCAGCTCCCTCAACGCCCGTTCTGTATCTAACTAGGCAGCTTCCTCAACTCGATATCTCAATCAGCTGCTCCAGTTCAGTATCTCCTATACTGTAATCCTGGATGACACTGTTACTGCTTCAATGTCTCTCGAACCCAGCTGCTCCTAAAGTCTCTGTTGAAGCTCTCCGTTACGAGCTCTTCCTTTCCCTCCACCAGGTCTCCCATCCTGGTATACGTGGAACAAGGAGAATATTGGAGGAACAGTATATTCATATATATTTATCATTTTTTATCCCTGTTTATGTTTACGTGGAAGTTGACCAGTTCCTGTCAACTCCCTCTTTGTACTTTACTATACACATTGTACACAAATATATATTCAGACATCCAGTGTTCTCTCTCTTGAGTAGATCTAATCTCCAACCTTTACACTGTTATGTTAGCTGTACATTACCGAGCCGCTCCTTGAGTCTCTGATACTCTGGTTGCGAAGATGCTCCTACCATCTGAGATGCTCCTTCTAATTAAGATGTGTCCATGCTATCCACAACTGCTCCTGAAGTATGAGATATGTCTAGGACATCCTAGTCTTCTTGTGCATTCTTGCAAGTAGAGCAGACGGGTCGGTACGAGAGTAGTTGAACTAGCTGAACTGGGGTAAGACCTCATTGTCCTAGATCTGTACTTACTCTATACCTCCAGTGGCCCTCTTAGTAGGACCAGCTCGAGTATTTGGAGTAGTTGAACCAGTCTTAGACTGAAGAATGTAGTTCTCCTGATATACTGAGAAACCTGAGGTTATACTTGTGTAGGTGATAATAGGAAGGAGGCAACCGTCCTCTTGTATCCTCTGTTGAGCAAGTTGATAAACTATCTGTTGACTGCCTGTTAGCTGTCTATGAAGTACAAGTCCCCAGGCCCTGATAAGAATACAACGGAGCTAAGGCTCAAACGTGTTTTCTATCTGGGATCCTGGAGTGTACTGACTAGTCTCTGACTTCCATAGATTGCTCTGACCCGGAGAAAGAAATAAAGAGTTTAACAGAGACAACCACGCCTTTTAAATACAATAAAACGTAAACATTTAATTTAATACTTTCTTCCTACAGAAAATGTTTCATCTTTATTTCGTGGGAAAATATTAAAGTATTGAGAAAAAATGTCACAGGGGAGAACTTTTCCATATTCATCCCGGACTAACCATTAGACGCATTCGGTTTCTTCTATTTGAAATCATACGCGTTTTGGTTTATATTTTAACAATCTTTGAAGTTACGGATTTGTTTGTTTAATACTTTTTATTCAAAACGTATATGCCGGCAAAGAAGTATTTAAGAAAGAAGGCTGAACAATTATGTTTAATAGGAGAAATTGTGATAGTAAGTCATAGCTTTCTGGAATATTGACAGAACCATTAAATCCACGTGTATCTCTAGCCGAACTCGAATAAATTTGAATTTGAACAAAAAATCAAACATTATTATCAGTACATAATACATTGTAATAATTGTAATAATTGTAATTATGCATTACGCATATATGTACATTGTAATGTTTCTTCTTGACCTTGTTGTTTCAAATAAACTCTAAAAAAACAGTTTGAGTTAAAATTTTGTGTGCGATCTGACATACCCATAAGAGAATGTTTGTTTATGAACAGGATTTTAAATTGTCGTATCCAGATTTCACCCAAAATATATTTTTTATTGTTAAAAATAGTGAATGAACTAGGTAAGAAAACTACATTAGTACAGATCTGCGTATATTGTTCAGTAGTCGGCGTTTATATCAATTCAGAAAACGACTTTTCTATCAAAGTTTCTTTTGTCAAATTACAAGTTAACAAGTAAACAAAGAGAAACTGTTAATTGACAGTTTCTGCTTGTTTCCATGGTTATGTGTCTCTTTACTTTGTGAAATCTTGCTAAAAGAAAAATTTAAATCGAAAGTTATCTTCATTGTATTGAAATATACGACGACGACGACTGTATCTACCTGGATATCAACTGTAACCCTCTCCATGTCTACCCCCATGAACCTGGCAGAGATCTCGAACATTCCATCATTTTCCAGGGGGAGGAAAATAAACTGCACGTTCTTCAGCTGGGCTGATGGCAATCCTTCTATTGTGTACAACACACCCTGTGTTTAAAACAGAGTTAGAATGGACCAAAATAATAATCCACAACGCGGCGCTGCAAGGCGAAAAAAATGAATATCTGTGATATAAGAATTTGACTTCACAGGCCTACTAATGAGATAAAGAACCACGGAAAGGCCCAGTTACTGTGATCTTACTGTGATCCATTCGGACTGCAGAAAACTAGTTTTATCAATTAGCAATAACAAACATCGGAGTTTTTCTGGTCAGAGAAGTAGCTTTTTTATTTACTTAGTTCTTTATTTACTTTAAAACCAGTTTCTTAGCAGTCCTCATACGTCAGAGTTTACTGTAAACAAATCCTATTCCCGGAAAACCGTTCGTTTATTTTCATTGAATCCAACTGTTTTATTGTTTGGCCAACTCTGAAAAGGCAAACAATCACATAAATACCGGAATTCAAATACTAGAAAAAGTTAAAATCGATTTCAAGCTTTTATCGAAAGCAGAAATCTGTTTTTGGTTACTGAAATTGTGCCATTTTTTTAAGGCAGTTTGGGATTCCCAAGTTGGGGCCTTTTCAAAATCTTGTTTAACTTTTTCAATTTCTCTTTAACATTGAACCGACTCACCTTGTCATATAATTTGGTAGCTGCATATTTCAGCGCTGCTTTAGATCTCATCTTCTTCCCCTTCTCTCCATCCTTATTCAAGGGAGTATGGTTTTAACAAATAATCAAGTTGAGAGGGGGGGGGGGGTCCAACCTTTTTTTTGGATAAATTCTTCAACAGAACCTACCCTGAAGCTTTTAAGAAAACAAAGATAATTTATACTTTTGAGAATTCCGGAAAATTCCATATAAAAAAATCGTTCCTAAACTCACTGCGAATTTTTGGACACCAGCGAGCTCTGGAGAAGATAGAGAATGCAATCACAGGGTTCAGTTCAACTCATCATCACAGAGTTCCTCGTTCTCACGTTCCTCCTAATCTCCTCCGAGCCAAGTATGTATTTGTAAGAGAAGATGCGACCTCTCCTCCACTTACTCCACTATACAGAGGACCATTCTTGGTTATTGAGCCTGGAGATAAGTTTTTCAAGCTGCAGATCGGAACAAAGATTGACACTGTATCCATTGACAGATTAAAACCACTGTTCTACACTGATCCTGTTTCAGTAGCTCAGCCTCCACCCAGAGGTCGTCCCAGGTTACAAGGTAAACCTCTTCAACCATCAACCAGATCTGTTCCTCCAACTTCAGGCCTAACAGTTCAACCTCCAACATACCTTTATGTACCTTTACCTGTTCTTTAGATGAACCCCTGATATACCTGATCCATTGAACCAGTATTGTTCTATCCTATACATGTACTGATCTATCCTGTAGTTGTACAGATCTATCCTAAACCCGCACTGTTCTATCCTAGACCTGTATTATTCTAGCTGTTCTATCCTGTACCTGTACTGTTCTAGCTGTTCTACCCTGTACCGGTACTGTTCTAGCTGTTCTATCCTGTACCTGTACTGTTCTAGCTGTTCTATCCTGTACCTGTACTGCTCTAGCTGTTCTATCCTGTACCTGTACTATTCTAGCTGTTCTATACTGTACCTGTACTGTTCTAGCTGTTCTATCATATATTCTTGTTTCTTGACCAGATCCCGTTTAGTTCTTCGTAACCTCAAGGATTCACGTCGTCTGAATAAACAATATTGGTATCACTGATCACTAAAGTTGGAGAAGAAATCAGATTTAATTAAAGCCCTATCAGAGCCCCTTTTGAGACCACTCTGTTCAAATTTTCCCGAAAATGCAGAAATCCAAATAATCTTGTGAGTACCAAAGATTGGAGCTTCTACATCAAGATATAATGTTTTGGGAATAAAATTGCTGTTCAATTTAGAATTTATTAATTGTATTTAATAATAAATATACAATATATTATTGGGCGGAACTTATATAAATAAATATATTTAGTACAATTTATATACACACATATTTTAAATAAGATGTCAAATGATTTATTTCCGTTTTCATGACACATCAATCATTCCACATCAAGACTCTTCTGCTTTTTCTCCTGTTTAAAGTTAATAAATGATCAACAAAATGTCAGGAAACCTTCAACTTTTTGCAAACTACTGTTTTCGTGTGTCTCTACTCGACAATCCATCTAACTATGGGTCAAATTCTCTTCAAAATTAAAAATTAATCATATAAGGTTAATTATCAAAATGACCTTAACACAATTTGCAACAATAATAACTCTGTCATCAGCGTCATCAGAAAAGTAAATATTTTGCATAATATTTAATATCGTAGTCGTAATTCTCACCCAAAGAGAATAGACAAGTATAGAGTGGAATTACCCCTATCCCTGCTGGGGTACTTTGAAAATAAGAATACCCGGGGGGGGGGGGGTCAATTAGACCCCTTCTCTCTAAATCCCATATTTGATGTCCAAATATGACAAATTATACATCATTAGAAAGCTCTTTTACATTTAGAATCGGCCAAAAAATTGCAAATTAGCAATTTTTTTTTGTTTTTTTTTTTTGACAAAATCCAGTTTTATAGTAAAAATGTTTTCAAAAAAATGCCCAAAAAACTAATAAAACATTTATTTTTGAAAAGCCCCTAACAATGCCATTTCAAATATGCAAAAAATTTTGCAAAATTTCAAATAAACTGGTGTGTAATTAAGAAAAACTAAAAATGCGCGAATTTCTTTTGACGGGTTGTATGAAAAAAAATTTGCAAAAACTTCTTTGCAAAACTTATGCAATCCGTTTCCTTATGTCACAGGATTACCAAAAAGTTAAAATTTATCAAAATCTGACAACTGAAAGTGGGTCAAAACAGAGATTTAGTTTGTTACAGGAAAAAGTGGTCATTCAGGCAGTGTACCTGAGGACTCAGACAGTTAGTTTAAAAGCCCAGTTTTATGTCTTAAAGGAGGGCTATGAGTATTTGGCCATGGAACATCTTATAGAAAAAAATGCCCTTTACAATTATTAATTTTCTCTAAATCAATTCTCCGACAACCTGTCATGCATTCCCAAGTTATTTTCAGAATTAGCAACGTATCATATTAGGGACATCAAAACGATACTTTATGAATAAAAAATAAATAACTATAAGATGGTTGAATACCTGTTAACTCTGTGCTCTCTTTGATCCAGTATATCCTTGGCAATATCTGTTATTATACTCTGGCATCCATCCTTGCTACTGGTATACCCTTGCACCTACCATAATAATCATAAAAGTAAAGGAAGGAGAGAAACGATGACAAGAAAAAGAGTCAAATCAGAATTGGTCTGTATCAACTGTATCCAATTTATAAGATTAAAAATTCAAAAATAATAAATGTTTAAAAAAAAATTATGATTGATGATTCGCTGAGTATCAAAATCCTTAGATAAATTAGACTAAATAGCTCATGTCTTCTACATCATACCGGAGTGTTTCAGCTGATATTGAAAAAGCGAATTGAGTTCTATACTAGCTAGGTCCCTATTCTACAGTACATTGAATAAAATGAGTTGCGGTAGTATTGTTCATACTCTGTAGTGTGGGGTGTTTTGTTTTGTTTAGAGGACCAGCAATACACACAATTCAAGATGACAAGACTGCTCATTTAAAAATTGTTTTCTACAGATTGACCCCGAAAAGTGAAACGTATTCAATGACCTTTTTATTTTAAATGACGAGTTCATGATGTACAAGGGGTTGTACAATTTTCAGCTTTACTATCTGCATAAGCAATTTATTCTATTGTATTTATGTCAAAATCACATAATCTGTGAATATATCATAAAAAATATGCATTTTTGTCTTTTAAAGTTTACTCCAAACTATTAAGTTAAAAAAAAGTTCAAAAAGATAATTTTTATCAAAATAAAATTATGTTATTTACATTAAAGGTTTTGTTAAAGTACAAGAAAAAAACGAACTAAATGAGGTCTGGATTTTTCGGCAAGTTTAACACCACTCTTTGAAGGAATTCATGTATACGCCAATTTAAAGTTGTACCTCTAATATCCTGAGATTCTTGAGAACCAGCCTTTTAGCGTCCTCCAGGGGTAACCTCCCCTCCTCGTCTGAGAATATATCGAATATTTCTAGATCCTTGTGCCTGGTAGCCTGGACCTCATCCTCCCTTCTGTCCAGGATCCTCCTGTACTCCTCCTCCTGATCCTGCGAGGTTCGGGACTTCAGGATACCTGACAGGGAATAAGAATAAAGTTAAATTTAGTACATGACACTCATATAATAGTAAACCTACAGTCTAGAAAAGTGCTCAGTATTAATAAATATTATTTTTCTTGCTCTACTTCATTTTTGATTTAATCCTGAACAATGCATTTAGTCGCACAACGAAGATAGAAATATATTGAATTGGAATTAATTTTAGTTTAATAACAAACAATTCACTTATTTAGACTGTACGCCCAAATAATGAGATGCAAATTATTAATTAATTATAAAACTACAACTACAAATAATATTCCAAAAGTTTGTTTTCATTAAACAGATCGCAGATATTGACCAAAACGTTTAATTAGGTTTTCAATTCTTAATATGGGCAAAACTTATTGAAAAATTCAAAATTTATCTTGTTGCATGCCAAAACCAAAAATCGAATTGATCAAAAAATATTTTCCAGTGTCTCTGGTGATATCAGAAGAATAATACGAATATTGCACATCATTTCGCTAAACATTAGCGCATGTAAATATAACAATAGTTGTACATTTTTTCAAAGGCTAGTTTTTAGATAATTCATATATATTATATAAACATATTTTTATTGTAATTTAAAGCATTTACGAACAAAAGTTGGCCTAACTTTTCTAAAGTTGAATACAAAGTTTTTGCGAATGGACAAACTGTTTTTGCCGAACGTTTTCTGACAGGGTTAACATTTGGCATAAGGTAATAAAACAAAACTTAAAAAGCATCTGATTTTGAAATATTTAACATTTCTAAAAAGCCCAAAAAACGTAAAGAAAACTGTACCCGTCGTTCCTTAAACACTGAAGAAAAAAAAAATAATCCATTCCGCTCAGTAAATAACAATCACACCCCCCCTCGCCACCATTTAAAACATTTTCAAGAACTGATAAGTTATAATAGCGCATATCTTTATAGTTGTAGTATCCTACCTATTAATGTCTGTTTATCTGTAAAGTGTATTGCAGGAAGAATAGCAAGGAGTAAATGTTTGGTTTTCACCCACAACCTATCCGTATCCGACATATCCTGACAGTATTTCAAATTTTAGTTCTAAACATTTAAACCAAAATTTATTTGGTAAATGAAATTAATAATAATTATATGACAGTAATCAAGAATAATATTATTAAAGTAAGAGAAGGTATTGTCGAATTATGCAATATGCATAGATGGGATTCTTCAATTAATATATCCGAAAATGTTTTTCCAAATGAGTTTATGACAAAAATGACGAAAGCAAAAAGTGTGTTAGAAACCGTAGTGTTCGCTAAAAGAAAATATTACCTTTCTTAGATTTCCCTCGTTGATTGGATTGAGTATTAGACACACCTCTGTCCTACCGAGGGCGGAGAGGGATGAGCAGTCCCCCTCCCCAGCCCCCAGGAGGGAGGAGAGAGAGGGGCTCCCTAATGTTGTGAGGAGAGGTATCAGGGGATCTCCTGAATATTTAGCTGTCAAAATAATCTAGTTTACTGTTGTGGTCGGCGTTTATGTCAACACAATGAAGGCGACTTTCCTATCGATTCTTCGGATTTCTAACATGTACTTTTTTCTTCAAATTTCGAGTTTAAAAAACAGAAAGAGAAGCTTCAAATTGAATCTTCTCTTTGTTTCCATGTTTACGTGTATCCATGCTTTTTAAAAGCTTGGTAAAAATCATGATTGAAATCGAAAGTCGTCTTCATTGTTTTGATAATTACGACAATTACTGTAACTGCAAGGACACTGGAAATTACAAGGACGACGGCCGGTTCTTTAAACCCGAGGGATGCAATATAATATTTTTGCCTATGAATATAAAATCAAATTTAAATATAACGTGTCTCATGATTTGAAGTCATACTGGTTTCATTTCTCTGCAGTATCAAGGCTTTGCGGAAAATTCTAAAAGTTAAATTAATATTTATACTAGATCTCGATAAGTTTCCGAATCTTAATGTTTGAGATAACGTCATTACAACTTATTGGGCTTCGCATTGACGACATAACAACATATTTATCCGTCACAAGACCACAATAAACATTTATAACTCAAACAATTTTTCCTTTATCCATAAATAAATCTTTACTGGGGACATTTAATTAAATTTAAATTACTAGGATTCCGAATTTCGTATTTTCAGAATTCAGAGGCCGAATTTAAAGAATTTGAGCCGCGGCTTAATTTGAGATGCGGCGTAAATATGTTTGGTACCACTTAAAACTGTATTCAATGTTTCAAGATTTAAGCCAGCATTCAATTGAAACCAGGTTTCGGCGGATTTGAGACGTGGATCAAATTTTTTAAATTCGAACACAGATGGAGGCTTTGAACAAACATTGACACGATACATTTTTTGCTTCCAGTCGTGAAATTTATCAAACTTTAGTTGGCATAAAATCAGGGTTTCCGTCTTAATTTGTTATTACTGAGAAAAAAGCTTATTATAAAAGTCGTCTTTATTTAAAAATTGTTTCCTTTAACTTATAAGAACAAATGGAAAAGCAAAATCCAAAAGCTCCTAAACTAAATAATGACCTGAATGGGTTATAACTGTGTCTCTATGCTGAATCAGAAGTTCGTGGGTATCACACAGCTCAGACAAACTGAATTATGGAACTGATGATAACTCGCCTGCAACCTCTAATGTTACAATCCATACATCATTGGAAGCCAATGGGGTAAACCTTTGATATTTCAAATTAATTAAAAGTTTTGAAGTATCAAAGGACTTCGACATCAGGTTACAAAGATAAAAGGATTGAGTTTGAGACCCTCCAAAAGTGGGGGGTCAGCTAACATACGTCTGTGATCTTTTTTTGAGTGCTTGAAGTATTTAAGAGTTGAAACAGAAAAATGTAAAATAGGTTTCAACTTAGTAAGCTGTTAACTGAGTAAAACTGATGTACAACAATTTAAAACTTGTATTAATTTTTAATATTTCTAGCCCCCCCCCCCTCCCCACTTTCCTCACCCTAAAAAATCTTTTTTTAACACTAAGCCCTTGTTAGGTGTCTAGATGGAAAAATAAATAATAAGACCTTATCTTAACTGGTCTAATTTGATAGCTAACCCTTAGCTTAGCTTTTAATGTTTAAAAAATTTGATTTAATGCTGAAGTATATACTATATATATTTGTATATTACATTTAAACAAAAATAATGATTTTTAAGTAGGAAAAAAATAGTTTTGAGGATAAAAAAGAAATTTTAAAAGTTTATAAAAATTTAATGTTAACAAAAATTTGTTAAGGATTTAAAATAAAATTATTTGAAGGATATAAATATATTTTTGAGAAAAAAAAGAAAAATAAATTATATAGAGAACAGCGCATTTCCATAATACATTTGATGTGCGTAATTATAAAACTAAGGTTTTTTTAATTTAATGACCTACAGATACAAATTGGACAGAAACGAGTAATAATAAAAAATGTATAATTCTAAAACTTTTATAAAAGAGGTTTCTTCATATTTGGTCTACAGACTGATATGTGCGTTTAAACAAGAAGTAAGATTTCTTAACGAAGTTTTCCGAGTTTTTAGCTCAAAAGCTAAGAATTGCATTTCAGGAGCTAAGGTCTCAAGACTTAGAAAAACATGCATAAACATTCTGTCTTCGGAAAATCAAAGTTCACATTTAAAACTAAAAAAGCTAAAAAAATGTGGTTAAAACATTTAGTGCTTCTAAATAGACAAACAAAATAAAGTATGAAAATTAATGTATGTGCTGATATAAAAATGACTATGTGCACTTATATAATAATATTCAAAAAGGGCACATTTTATGCAATGACATTTTTAGATATATAAAATTGAGTAATTAAATAATATCATAGTGATATTTTTTACATCTTCCATGACAAAAGCTTGTTTATATTTAAAAACAGTACACATGTATTGTCAACAATCGACAGCTTTACTAGTTTATGACAAAAATGACGAAAGCAAAAAGTGTGTTAGAAACCGTAGTGTTCGCTAAAAGAAAATATTACCTTTCTTAGATTTCCCTCGTTGATAGACAAACAAAATAAAGTATGAAAATTAATGTATGTGCTGATATAAAAATGACTATGTGCACTTATATAATAATATTCAAAAAGGGCACATTTTATGCAATGACATTTTTAAATAAAATAAAATTGAGTAATTAAATAACATTTAATCATAGTGATATTTTTTTCATCTTCCATGACAAAAGCTTGTTTACATTTAAAAACAGTACACATGTATTGTCAACAATCGACAGCTTTACTCAACTTTTCATCAGTACAACTTATCTTCAACAATGGGTAGGAGATGAGGTAAGAATAAGCTTTTATTTAGAATGAAAATGTGCTGCTTTCCCATAAGGCATTCATCAACGTAAAAAACTATGAATAATTACTTATTTCGTGCATGGTTAGCAATGAAATTGGATAGTAAACCAAATGAAAAAGAAAGTTTGAGCTTGTACTTCACCAGTATCGACCTAATTTTCGACCAGCCAAGAAGAAAAGGGGTAGCAACCTTCCTGAAGGTATCAATAGATGGAATATGTGTAGTCAAGAGTGGGAGGTCATCCTAGAAGGACGGGAAGAGTCTGACAGACTTCTTGGTTCCCAAGAAGGAAGGGGTCGTGGTCAAGGACGTGGTAGAGGTCGTCCTAGAGGATCAACTTGGGGTATGAGAGGTTCCTCTGCTGTGAATTCTGATTTTCTTCCTTCTCCATAAGTTGATGTTTTGATTTTTATAAATAATAATAAAAATTGTGAACAGTTTTTTCTTTCTTTTTTATCCATTCCCAATCTTGATATTATTGTCTTCTATTTTCCATTGGACAAATATTGAAACGTGTTTGAGATAAAATCGTAATTCCAAAGGATATATTTTGAAAGTTTGCATTTACATCTTACTTTTAGATTTTTAGCCAGATTATTTGAACTGGCATATCTTACTATGCTTGCATTTTATTAACAAACTTATTAGACGAAATTTTCACACAACCGGGCTCCCTTTCATAGTGTTTTAATAAACTTTTTTTTATGCTGCATAGTTTATCTTTATTTGGTGTTAAAAGATATGTACGTACAGATTATTACAGTCGCTTGTACTACTGACATGATTGTGCACATAGAAACCTTTATTGAAAACTTGAATAAATCACTTACCTTAAATTGAAAATAAAAAAGTTTGTCAACACTTGTTCTTAATTACTAACTGTCAATGAAATAGTTGAATAAACTCAACCAAGTTGTTTTATTAAGTTGTGAGGGGCTTTGATTTAAAATAAAAAATTAATAAACCGAAAATTATTATGAAGGTGCACTTCACTCTACACTTAGTCTGGTAATTGATAAAATGTGCTTGCCTTATATAGATATTTGGTTTGGCAATAAGTGCTGCTTCAGTATATTTGTCAATCTCAAACTGTGTCTCCGGTTCCACAACCTACAGATTATCGTTATTGTTATTGTTATTGTAATTGTTATTGTTATTATTATTATTATTATTATTGTTGATATTGTTAATATTGTTATTATTGTTATTATTGTTATTACTGTTATTATTGTTATTATTATTATTTATCAAAAGATTAACTAGGGAGTATACAATATAAAGTAAACATACTTAAATAACATTTCCTAAAAATTATAAAAAACATATAATGCACCTTGCAAAATGACTTAAAACATTTGAATTACAATAACAATCATAATACAATTAAACATGGCTTAAGAAAACCACCTTGGATATTGGATTAAAACATATCTTCACATATTGAAGCCGGATTTCTCGTATCCGGTTTAATTGCGCAATGTTTTAAGTCCTAAATTTACCAGTGCATGACATTTTTTTAAATCTAGTATCATGTTTTCATTATAAGGAAAAAATAAGTTTAATAATATGTCGATTCTTCAAGAAAGTTTAACCGGGTTCACAATACATCATATTCCTTGATTATCATAGAACGTTAAGTCAGTTCAATTCTGAAAAAATAATCAGATCTATGAACTTTTTATCTAAATGTAATTTGATTCAAAATTATTCGAAAGTAAAATAATTTAGATAAATCGAGGTTTCCCCCGGTCCAGGCGATATTTTCTAAGATTCGTCCAAAAACTAAATTAAAAATTAAACCACACTGAACTTTTCATATTACCTGACAGCAGTTGGAAAAGAAATGTTTGAATTTTTCATGGCATTCTATAATGAATGGGTTCATGCACACTAGATGTGGAGATTCAGTTCCAAACCCTAGTTCAACCAGGCTTAATTTTAGCATTGAAATACAGCAAAATCACGCGAAACTACACTGCAAAAGTTTGTTTTTATTTGTCCCCGTAAAAAGTCAATGAGTCTAAAGTCTCACAGTAGATTAGTTTTTTTCCTCCATTTATATCAAAATAGAAAGAGAAATAAATTCTGGAATAAATTCGTCATAAAAGTTGCCACCCCCTTCTAAAAAGCTGTTAGTTAATCCTATTATATTCTTCGGTCAGTTTTTCTAAATTCTATAAAAATGTTAAACCCAATATTACAAATAAAAGGCCCATGTTAAATATAATATTAAAGACAGCCTGCCTAGTTTGCTAGCTGAATATTGCAAAATCTTTGCAATATGTGCCAGGTTTCGTCTCTGCTCATGATTCAAGTTGGGATCTTGTCTCTTGTCAATCATATCAAATCTAAGTTAAGTAAAAATATTTTAAAAACAAGACAATCTAATCTTCTCTTTTCAATGGTATTTGAAAAGAAAAGAAGTTTTGGATTTAAAGTATTCAACCAAAAAAATCAGTTTTTCGTACTTGAGGTCACAAAGTCGTATTAGTTTTTAACATAAATTCGAGACGGGAGTTACCTGTCTGGTGAAACTATTGCTGGATTGATGAACTTATAGTAGATTAGGTTTCCAATAATCTTTAGAATATCTTTCTCGTGTGCCTCAGGAAACTTGGCACTTAAACAGCTATACAGAACCTAGATTTTTGAAAATAATGATTTCCCAAAATTACTTTTTCTAAAATATAGGTCTTTTTTTCTTTCGATGTGGAGGATTTTATAAAAACAATTTGATTGTGAGGTTTAGATCTGTTTTGAGGAATACTAAGTGGAAGAAAAAAAGCGGGGATCATATTGCTAAAAAAATCTATATCCCCCCCCCTCTCTTACCTTTGCAATATAAAGAATTCCGTAAGGAAGCTTGGCTAGATTATTCGTGATTGTAGCAAGGAAAAGGGTAGAGACTCTCTTCAGGGTACTAAAACAAAATAAATTCATTTTTTGTATCATTCTCCTCGGAAAGTGTATGGGCTTATAATATTATTGGGAAATCTTGGTTTTCAACCCTAGTGCCTTCTAGAGATATAAAAAAATAATAAACATTCACGATTTGAATTTTTTTTCTTTCACAGACTTTCTTGTATTGGAATTTAATCTATTCTAATTATTACCTAGAATGGCTAATGGCCATGCATTTAGATAAATAAATGAATAAATAATAACAGTAAATTTAAAATGTTTTTCTCTTGCATAATCATTAACCATAATTATTGTTAGACCTAAATATTTTATTAGATTTCTCTCTCTCCAAAATCTTTTAATATTTTGGTTTGTATCTAATACTGAACTTTAATATCCCATTTTTATCACATTTCAAAGTTTTTCACCATTATTTCTAGATTCAAAAACAATTTTTGCTAAGCATCGAACCTTACTTCCTGTCATAAAAACCCCCTTTATATCCTATGTTTCCTATTTTCTAATAACTGATTCTCTTATCTATCATCCAACAGTATGTTTCATTAGCTGATTCTTTTTTCTATTATCCAATTTATTTTCCGTTAGCTGATGCTATTTTCTATTATCTGGTTCTATTTTCTATTATCTGGTTCTATTTTCTATTATCTGATACTATTTTTCATTATCTGATACTATTTTCTATTAACTCGTTCTTTTCTTCTATTATCTAATTTTTTTTCCATTAGCCAATACTTTTTTCTATTATCCAATTTTTTTCCATTGGCTGATACTATTTTCTGTTATCTTATCCTATTTTCTATTATCCAATTTTTTCCCCATTAGCTGATACTATTTTCTATTATCCGGTTCTATTTTCTATTATCTGATCATATTTTCTCTTATCTGGTTCTATTTTCTATTATCTGAACATATTTTCTATTATCTGGTTCTATTTTCTATTATCTGATCATATTTTCTCTTATCTGGTTCTATTTTCTATTATCTGAACATATTTTCTATTAT